GAATACTAGTACCTTTAATTCAATTTGTGTCATCAAAGTGGTACTAAATTAAATAAAGTTTAAAATAAAACGCATTAGTGTAGGTTCCAAATATTAATTAACACAAGTTCCAAATACCTTCAAGAAAGTAGTTGTTGTGAAGAGTGTGAAGCTCACTCTTGTAAATCTTGATATCCAGTACTCGTTTTATCTGAAAATTAATGAAGGCAACACATGAAAAAAAAAACCAAATGAAATAAAATTGATAAAGTTAAAATTATTTTTGAAAATTTAAAAGGTAATAATAACTAGGATTTAAACGTAGATTTTTTATTTTTTGAGCTTCAATCTATATTGAATCTTTCTAAAACTGATCAATTATACGCCATAGAAATGGTTTGATATATCATTAAATCAAATTACACAAAAAAATATATAATTAAAAGTATGATAAGAGAAAAATTAACTTGAAGATCAAAGAAAAGTAACGAGATATTAAGTTAGTTAAATTGTTGAGAGATACTCAATTATTTCAAAAGAAACAAAAAATTTCAAATAATAGAAAAATTAAGAATTAGGGAAAATAAATAATGTGAAATTAGAAAATATAACTACAAGACCTCAATAGAATATTAAAATTAATACAATTGTAGATATATTTCACATTTCACTAAAATAAAATATCTCATTGCTAACTTCAATCAACAAAATGTAAAAAAGAAAAATGTAATTAAAGGTATCTTTAGAGAAAAAGTGACTTGAAGATTTATAAATACTTGTTACATACGAAATATGTCAAAATATTGAAAAATAATAAAATTCCTCAGTTGTTCGGGACTTGGGGTCTGTGTACAATATGGTGTACACGATTAAATGAACTGTCAACCGATAGGGTACGACTGATCGAGGCAGACAGCAGTTAAAGATAGTTAAAGACTAATGAATAGTATAACGATCATTAATGGACGATTAGCTGGTACATTAACGGTCAATAATGATCAATTAATAGGTTTGATTATCATAAATTCTATAAATATAAGTTTGATATAGAGGTAAAGATATTTTTGAACATAATTCAATTCATTAAGACCTTCTTGAAAAACAAATCTGACTTGAGTGTTAGAGTGTCTTCTGCAGGTCAAACACCGATCGGATACATAGCAAGTTAGGACAGGACGACCATCCATCGACCCTACGTAATCGAAACACATATTAATCTGTTGAGGATTGCATTTAAGGAAAGAATATTGGATTTTTAATTAAGATTTATAATTAAAAAAATATTTTAATTAAGATTTGTTATAATTTAGTTTATTAAATATACTTTAGGAGTTATAAAAAATGGTAACTCATTTTAATATTGAATTCTTAATTAGAATTTATACTTTAAGAAAGTAATTTAATTAAGATTTGTTATAATTTAGTTGATAGTTTATGAGATAAAAAAATAGGTTTTTATTAAATTATTCAGAAAACCTAAAATTGATTTTTTGTAACTAACTTAGAATATATGATTTATTTATATACGTCAAAGGAAGTTTAAGATGTAACAACTTAGACCCTCTCTTTTGTATTTTTCTATTGGTAAACTCATAACCCGTATGTGTCCCATAACATTATGGATTTAGCCTATGTTTCTCTCTTACCTATATTCGAAGTGAATTTATATCACATGTTATGAAAGATGAAAAGAACACTACAAATAACATTTTTTGCAACTAAATCTTTGAAGTATTTAAAGTTAACTTTTATTTATTTTGAGAAAAAAAAAAGTTAATATCTTTAAAAATTCAATGCATTCCCTGTCAGATCATTTATGAATTTGAAAAAAGAACTGAAAAAATTTAGAGAACATAATAATATATAATTTAATAATATGAGAAGTATTTTATATGATGAGACTATCGTTTGAGAGTATTCAATTGGTTTAATGTAACATATAATATTTTGAACGGTAAAGAAAGTTTTAAATAGTTTAGCAAATTCATTTGTGAAAGATAGACTTAAAAGAATAAAAATTAACAAACAAATTGTAAGCAATAATGCTATGATTTAAATATGTATTTATTTCAAAAATATAATCCGATGCTACATTTAATCTCTAGAAAATTCCTTTCCTCTAACATGTTTTGTTCTAATCTATGTAGTATGTAAATAATTTTCCTTTTGTTGCTATAAAATATTTTTCAAAATGATATATCAAAAAGAAAAACAAATTAAAAACAGTTTTTTAAAGACCAAAGACAATATAGAAGTATATTTCAAAGATCAACAATATATTTGAGTTCAAATTTATTCCTCCTTTACTCTGCAAAAGTATTCTCATTTTATTGTAAAATACAATAATCTCTGATAACGTAATCCAATCGAAAAAATTACCCAAAAAGGAAACTTATCAGTCATACAAGACAATCATGATTCATAAATACGAACTTCTTATCAGCCATGCGCTGTACACAACATAGTTCACATAACAAATTAGTAATATTCTTGGTACATAAGAAAAGCCAAAAAACCAGAATCAACACAAAATATGAACAAGAACAACATAAACAACTTTATCTCACAATATCAGCCGCATGTTATTGTTGGAGATCAGCAGACCCAACTAAAATATCACTTTACCAGAAGCACTTATACTTACGCTCTCATACACGAGATAACTTTCAAATTCCCAAGTTCAGTCATCTAGTACTGACATTTTATAGCCATATTACAAATTCCAATTTTTTTAATTTCCGGCACAAATATTATCTGATTACTCCAACAGTATTGGCACCATCAAGCCTCGCACCTTCCAAGTGCTGAGTGACATAAAAAGGAACGAAGAAATGTGTTAGTTTATCCCACATAACAGAAAAATATACTCGCCATAATTTTCCACCCATTCTAAATACAGGGAGCCAACAAAAGAAGCATTAAAACAATGGGAATTTGAAAACCTCAAATCTGATCTCGCATGGCATTTATTCCGTTGCCTAACGTTTGTCATTTTGGATTCAGTTATTAGTTTTATATTGGAAACAACAGATCATATAGAATTTTTTCGTGATCTGTGATTCAGTTTCCTGTACTTAGTAAATAAACTCTGGTTCAGCCATGTGTCCACTGATCAACAAGAATGGTTAGTGTGGAACACACTTGAATAACATAGCAGCAAACCAGCTTGAACTGAATGCTTGTGCTCAGTTCAGTTCCATTCCAACTACATTTTCAAAATCAATTGTCTACATTGTAAAGACATCCATCAATTATTGGCAACAGCAGCACAGCATAATATACCACAAACATTCCCCACTCCCATTCATATCACTGGACTTGACATTAAATTTTCAAACGACCAATGCCAGGCCATAACACATGAATTAGTTAATGGAAAATATTGATTAGCCAATCTATAATATCATAATTAGTAAAGAAACTCATAAGAACTATGAAAAATACAACTAAAATACATACCGTATATCGAAGATTAAGATGACTAAGATAAGCTCGTTGAAGGTTTGCACCCTTCAAGTTGGCGTTGTTCAGTTTTGCCCCCTAAGAAAAATAGGGAATTGATTTCAAAGTAGGCCAAAATAAGATTAAAATTTTATTTCACCCAGCCATAAACTTAATTGAAAAGAGAAAATGAAAAGAAAATCAGTAGTAAATTAAACTGACAAATTTATAGGAAGCAAGGTATCAAATTTAGGAAATAACTAAACTGGTATTGATGTTTATACCTGATCAGAGGGATACAAGAAAATCCAACAGAAACAAAATGACTATGCACGGAGATAATCTGCTTACAATTCACACTTTTAATCCATGGTGAGGTTTCTCAAAGTTTTGTGGGTTAAGTTATCTCATTAATAGTATATCATCTTCGGCCTTAGATAACGAAATTCCTCTTTCTATTTTGTTCGAATATTTTAACTTATTTGTCACCTGGGTGTAGCGTTTTCAGGTTTTCTCTTTGTATCTTTGACATTGGAGCCCTTACAACATACATGAATTAGTTAGGATATGAATCAATCCTTTAGGCATTCTTTCTCGTATTTCATTCTCAAGTCTTATGTTAAGCGATAAAGTGGTGGAGATATTTAAATTTAAAAAGAAAATGNTAGACTTGTCTAATCAATATATGGACTATAACGTGTATTACTAGGCTCATTTAATCAATGTAAATATGAGCACGATTCGTGTACATGGGTATTGTGAGACTCATCTAATTAGTGTTGTAAAAAAGTTTAAAAAATAACGAACAAAGTTTTCTGAGGCGTGTAGATCACTATCCTTAAGGACTTATTCGCGGTGTATTGCTCAAGTCCCCTAGGATACAATAGGAACTTCCTAGAAATTTCTAAGGATCTCAGAACTAGCAAGGAACTCTAAAGAGAGTAAAAGAATAAACCTAGGATATAAAGCGGATAGAAAAAATTTGTTAAAATCGAAAGAAATAACAGTAAGATATCATTGTATTGAGGAAGAACCAAACACCCAAAGAATCTTAAGCTGCGCACAATACACTAAATCCTTAGATTAGCAATTGACGCTGAAAAAAAAGGAGTTCGCATAGAACTGCTAGAAGAACGCATGAGATGTGTCCTCTGAAGGTAAAGACACCTACGACTCCGCACTCTGGTGCAAACATATCGAGCTCTCCAGGAAAGAAAGCGGCTAACTGCGTCGAGAGAAATTATCACACTAGGTTCTCCTATGACTTAGCGGGCGGACGAGTAATGCCTTAAGCGAGCGTACTGACACGGTAAAAGAGAAAACAGCAGGAGGGGACAGCAGGCTTACTGTGGGATTAGAATAGGTTCCAAGGGAACGGAGGAGAAGGAGACAATGATGAGGAGGAGAGGTGACGTAAACATATCGGCTCCGGTGTGCGCGGAGGAGGGATGCAGTAGCCGCATAAGGTAGAGAGGGAGAAACGGAATAGAACTCGCAGAGGGGGCGAGCTGCAGGAGGCAGAAGGGCAGGCAAGAGGTACGGAAGTATCCGGGATAATTCGGGGAGAGTCGGCGAGAGAAATAAAGGAAGGAAGGGCAGAGGACTGGGTAGGAGGAGTACAAGAGGTGAGAGGGTAGAAGAAAATAGAAGACATGGGAGAAGGGGACGGAGAGGGATTGGAAGGAGGGGAGTCCTCCGCGCTCGCGCAGGGGGCGGGAGGCGAAGGACGCCACACGCCGCAAGCCACGTGACCCAGCTGTAAGCATAGAAGACACCGTAAAGGAAGCAGCGCGACCACCGGCCCTACAGAGTACAAGTTCCCTTGTCCAAACCAGATACACACAGCTCAGGTATAAGAAAGGCCACTGGAGTCAGGAGCTGCCACTAAACGAGAGAGCGACGTGTACCCAATTCCCAACATATCAAGATCACCAGAGGCCAACTTTTAGGGATTATATCAGATCGGAAGAAAAGACCAAAAGACCCAAGAAGGAAGATGACCCAATAACAGGGAATGGTTCCTCCCGAGAGCCCGAGATGGGATCCTTAAAAGAATTTTAAGAAGAATACTGATCTTAGAACCGCAATTCAATTGGCCTCGACACACGATTCGACAAAGAGCAGATAAGGGCGTGACGGAGCACGGGCCAGGAAGAGGGACGCCACCAGATAGGGGAGTGGCCCTTTACAATGCAGGTTGTGGGGGGATATTCGAAGAACACGGGTAGGAACGACCCCTACTATAAGTGATAGTGAAAAGTTGTACGAGAACCCAAAGGCACGAGGACCTTGAGCCCACCCGGTTTTAGAGAAGGCCGCGTACGTTAGTAAAGTAGAAAAGTTGAGACGAGTGGATGGGAAAAGAGTATCCGAGCTAGTTCACAGTAAAACCGGCGAGGACCAGCTGGTGGGTACTAGCAAGGAACGGGAGAGAGGGCTTGGCCAAAGCACGGAGTAGGAAAGATCAGATAGAAATGCAGGAGTGTGAGTAATAGGAAAGGAGGGAGGAAGAGCGAGAGGAGAGCGAACGGAAAGCAACAACGATGCATGAGGAAGGAAGGCCAAAAGGCCGAGGGAGCAAGTTTAGGCGGAACGAAAGTAAACAAATTGATCGAGACGGACGTCCAATGAGGCAATTCAGAGGGCCCCCAATGCATCGGGAAGATAAAGAACGCGGCTAGGGAGCAAGAAAGTTCAACTCCACGGATATCGCGGACGTATCGATGCGTCCGGCAAACGAGTCTGAGAGAGAGTCAGGCGGAATATGGTAGGGGTACGAAAACCAAGACATACAGGAAGCATCCAGGGTAGCGTACGGATCAGCTGGGCCGGCACCGAGTAGTGTTGAGAGGAAAGACAGGCGACCCATAGTTCACCAGGTAAGTAAAAGAGAAGGGAAAAAGACGGCAATAAGACACAAAGGTCTTCCAGAAAGAGAAGCGCAATAAAGGGAAGCCGCTCGACAAAAGGAAACACAGCTCAGAGGACAAAAAGGGGATACTAATATTTCGCCTATAGGACCCATGAAAGCCCCGGCAAAGAGAATACGTCGATAACATATGCCGGAGGCTACGGGAGACAGTGCTCCTAATGCGGCTGGTGGAACGGGGTCACGGTGTACGTACCCCCCCTTTCACAGGCATAGCAATAATGTCCCACCATCTTGCTGCGCCGAGCATACTCGATTAGATTGAAGAAAGAGAATAAACGACCGAGAAAGCTAAGAAGTAAGGATAAGCTGTGATAGGGATACTAAAGTTTCCCTTTGAGAAGAAGAAGACGAACTACGACAAGTTTGGTGTGTTTTTTTGGAATGCTGGATATGCTCTATTTATAGAGCGGAAACTTGGTAAAAAAAATTGGTAAAAAAATTGATGCCAAATAATGAATAAATAAAATTTTACGGTTGGCACCTATGAAATTTAATGAAAAGAAAACATTGGTGTACTTTGACGTTAATGAAAAAATAAATTGTGTAAATTATGGTTGTCAAAATGTAGGTTTGACTGACTTAAAGAAGACCTTAATCAAATATTAGCATTGACTTTTGTTCATTTATGTTAGTTTTCTAGGGACATTGGTGAGAGTTTTTCTAGTATTAGAATCGGTTAAACTAATTTAAAGTAATCACTAGTGCAGAATTGGCCTTTAGCGTCAACCCAATAGACGTTGGTCCACGCAAAACCCCAACGTAAAAATAATTGACCGGTGGCATAAATATAAATAATTGAGTGTTGGAGACGTCCGTTCTGGAGGGGGCCGGACAGTCTATAATATTATAGATCCCGACCCCCTCTAACGGACGTTCAAAAGGCTGACGGGGGTTGAAGAGTTGATTACTTCAGCCTATTGAACGTCTGTTGGGAGGGGGACAGACGTCTATAATATTGTAGACGTACCCGGCCCTCGGAACGGACGTTCAATAGGCTGACGGGGGGAGTGAAGAGTTGATTGCTTCAGCCTTCTGAAAGTCCGTTCTGGAGGAGGCCGGACGTCTACAATATTATAGACGTCCGCCCCATCCAGAACGGACGTTCAAAAGGGCTGAAGCAATCAACTCTTCAAACTCCCCCGTCAGTCTCTTGAATGTCCGGTTATGGAGGGGGCGGACGTCTATAATATTTTAGACGTCCGACCCCTTCCAGATCGGACGTTCAAGAGACTGACGGGGGAGTTGAAGAGTTGATTGCTTTAGCTGTAGACGCCCGGCCCCTCAAGAACGGACGTTCAAGAGAATGACGGGGAGTGAAGAGTTGATTACTTCAGCTTGTAGACGTCCGGCCCCTCTAGAACGGACGTTCAAGAGGCTGACAGGAAAGTTGAACCAGTCTGTTGTGCGGAAACGGAAGTCTATATAGACGTCCGACCTTGCACAACACGTTTGGTTAACGTCACCCACCAAAGACGTCGAGTGCATGTCGGACGTCAAAAGGCCAAAATAATATACGTCTAAAAACCCTTCTGCACTAGTGAATGTAAATATTTTCAAAAAAAAAAAGTCGAAAGTGTAATATTATTTTTACTCTTCATTTTATAGTATGTAAATGTGTATATCTTTTAACTAATGCTACTTAGAAATGGTGTTGTGCTTAGTCAATCTTAGTTATGCTAACTTTTCTGATAAAGAAAAAAAATGTTAGTGACTTAGATGGGAATGATAAATCCATTTAATGTTGAATACTAGTACCTTTAATTCAATTTGTGTCATCAAAGTGGTACTAAATTAAATAAAGTTTAAAATAAAACGCATTAGTGTAGGTTCCAAATATTAATTAACACAAGTTCCAAATACCTTCAAGAAAGTAGTTGTTGTGAAGAGTGTGAAGCTCACTCTTGTAAATCTTGATATCCAGTACTCGTTTTATCTGAAAATTAATGAAGGCAACACATGAAAAAAAAAACCAAATGAAATAAAATTGATAAAGTTAAAATTATTTTTGAAAATTTAAAAGGTAATAATAACTAGGATTTAAACGTAGATTTTTTATTTTTTGAGCTTCAATCTATATTGAATCTTTCTAAAACTGATCAATTATACGCCATAGAAATGGTTTGATATATCATTAAATCAAATTACACAAAAAAATATATAATTAAAAGTATGATAAGAGAAAAATTAACTTGAAGATCAAAGAAAAGTAACGAGATATTAAGTTAGTTAAATTGTTGAGAGATACTCAATTATTTCAAAAGAAACAAAAAATTTCAAATAATAGAAAAATTAAGAATTAGGGAAAATAAATAATGTGAAATTAGAAAATATAACTACAAGACCTCAATAGAATATTAAAATTAATACAATTGTAGATATATTTCACATTTCACTAAAATAAAATATCTCATTGCTAACTTCAATCAACAAAATGTAAAAAAGAAAAATGTAATTAAAGGTATCTTTAGAGAAAAAGTGACTTGAAGATTTATAAATACTTGTTACATACGAAATATGTCAAAATATTGAAAAATAATAAAATTCCTCAGTTGTTCGGGACTTGGGGTCTGTGTACAATATGGTGTACACGATTAAATGAACTGTCAACCGATAGGGTACGACTGATCGAGGCAGACAGCAGTTAAAGATAGTTAAAGACTAATGAATAGTATAACGATCATTAATGGACGATTAGCTGGTACATTAACGGTCAATAATGATCAATTAATAGGTTTGATTATCATAAATTCTATAAATATAAGTTTGATATAGAGGTAAAGATATTTTTGAACATAATTCAATTCATTAAGACCTTCTTGAAAAACAAATCTGACTTGAGTGTTAGAGTGTCTTCTGCAGGTCAAACACCGATCGGATACATAGCAAGTTAGGACAGGACGACCATCCATCGACCCTACGTAATCGAAACACATATTAATCTGTTGAGGATTGCATTTAAGGAAAGAATATTGGATTTTTAATTAAGATTTATAATTAAAAAAATATTTTAATTAAGATTTGTTATAATTTAGTTTATTAAATATACTTTAGGAGTTATAAAAAATGGTAACTCATTTTAATATTGAATTCTTAATTAGAATTTATACTTTAAGAAAGTAATTTAATTAAGATTTGTTATAATTTAGTTGATAGTTTATGAGATAAAAAAATAGGTTTTTATTAAATTATTCAGAAAACCTAAAATTGATTTTTTGTAACTAACTTAGAATATATGATTTATTTATATACGTCAAAGGAAGTTTAAGATGTAACAACTTAGACCCTCTCTTTTGTATTTTTCTATTGGTAAACTCATAACCCGTATGTGTCCCATAACATTATGGATTTAGCCTATGTTTCTCTCTTACCTATATTCGAAGTGAATTTATATCACATGTTATGAAAGATGAAAAGAACACTACAAATAACATTTTTTGCAACTAAATCTTTGAAGTATTAAAAGTTAACTTTTATTTATTTTGAGAAAAAAAAAAGTTAATATCTTTAAAAATTCAATGCATTCCCTGTCAGATCATTCATGAATTTGAAAAAAGAACTGAAAAAATTTAGAGAACATAATAATATATAATTTAATAATATGAGAAGTATTTTATATGATGAGACTATCGTTTGAGAGTATTCAATCGGTTTAATGTAACATATAATATTTTGAACGGTAAAGAAAGTTTTAAATAGTTTAGCAAATTCATTTGTGAAAGATAGACTTAAAAGAATAAAAATTAACAAACAAATTGTAAGCAATAATGCTATGATTTAAATATGTATTTATTTCAAAAATATAATCCGATGCTACATTTAATCTCTAGAAAATTCCTTTCCTCTAACATGTTTTGTTCTAATCTATGTAGTATGTAAATAATTTTCCTTTTGTTGCTATAAAATATTTTTCAAAATGATATATCAAAAAGAAAAACAAATTAAAAACAGTTTTTTAAAGACCAAAGACAATATAGAAGTATATTTCAAAGATCAACAATATATTTGAGTTCAAATTTATTCCTCCTTTACTCTGCAAAAGTATTCTCATTTTATTGTAAAATACAATAATCTCTGATAACGTAATCCAATCGAAAAAATTACCCAAAAAGGAAACTTATCAGTCATACAAGACAATCATGATTCATAAATACGAACTTCTTATCAGCCATGCGCTGTACACAACATAGTTCACATAACAAATTAGTAATATTCTTGGTACATAAGAAAAGCCAAAAAACCAGAATCAACACAAAATATGAACAAGAACAACATAAACAACTTTATCTCACAATATCAGCCGCATGTTATTGTTGGAGATCAGCAGACCCAACTAAAATATCACTTTACCAGAAGCACTTATACTTACGCTCTCATACACGAGATAACTTTCAAATTCCCAAGTTCAGTCATCTAGTACTGACATTTTATAGCCATATTACAAATTCCAATTTTTTTAATTTCCGGCACAAATATTATCTGATTACTCCAACAGTATTGGCACCATCAAGCCTCGCACCTTCCAAGTGCTGAGTGACATAAAAAGGAACGAAGAAATGTGTTAGTTTATCCCACATAACAGAAAAATATACTCGCCATAATTTTCCACCCATTCTAAATACAGGGAGCCAACAAAAGAAGCATTAAAACAATGGGAATTTGAAAACCTCAAATCTGATCTCGCATGGCATTTATTCCGTTGCCTAACGTTTGTCATTTTGGATTCAGTTATTAGTTTTATATTGGAAACAACAGATCATATAGAATTTTTTCGTGATCTGTGATTCAGTTTCCTGTACTTAGTAAATAAACTCTGGTTCAGCCATGTGTCCACTGATCAACAAGAATGGTTAGTGTGGAACACACTTGAATAACATAGCAGCAAACCAGCTTGAACTGAATGCTTGTGCTCAGTTCAGTTCCATTCCAACTACATTTTCAAAATCAATTGTCTACATTGTAAAGACATCCATCAATTATTGGCAACAGCAGCACAGCATAATATACCACAAACATTCCCCACTCCCATTCATATCACTGGACTTGACATTAAATTTTCAAACGACCAATGCCAGGCCATAACACATGAATTAGTTAATGGAAAATATTGATTAGCCAATCTATAATATCATAATTAGTAAAGAAACTCATAAGAACTATGAAAAATACAACTAAAATACATACCGTATATCGAAGATTAAGATGACTAAGATAAGCTCGTTGAAGGTTTGCACCCTTCAAGTTGGCGTTGTTCAGTTTTGCCCCCTAAGAAAAATAGGGAATTGATTTCAAAGTAGGCCAAAATAAGATTAAAATTTTATTTCACCCAGCCATAAACTTAATTGAAAAGAGAAAATGAAAAGAAAATCAGTAGTAAATTAAACTGACAAATTTATAGGAAGCAAGGTATCAAATTTAGGAAATAACTAAACTGGTATTGATGTTTATACCTGATCAGAGGGATACAAGAAAATCCAACAGAAACAAAATGACTATGCACGGAGATAATCTGCTTACAATTCACACTTTTAATCCATGGTGAGGTTTCTCAAAGTTTTGTGGGTTAAGTTATCTCATTAATAGTATATCATCTTCGGCCTTAGATAACGAAATTCCTCTTTCTATTTTGTTCGAATATTTTAACTTATTTGTCACCTGGGTGTAGCGTTTTCAGGTTTTCTCTTTGTATCTTTGACATTGGAGCCCTTACAACATACATGAATTAGTTAGGATATGAATCAATCCTTTAGGCATTCTTTCTCGTATTTCATTCTCAAGTCTTATGTTAAGCGATAAAGTGGTGGAGATATTTAAATTTAAAAAGAAAATGTACTTTTATTGAACATAAGGGTCTATGTTAGGCCCGTAAGTCATGTTTTCAGTGGTTGTGTCATGAGTGAGGAAACTTATACAAAAATCATAAAGTGGAGGCCAAAAGGGGGTGAGAGAAAATGGGAATATATGGAGAGCTTAACCAAATGAAAGGGGGATTATTCTCAGTCTGCGTGATGATTTTTTAGTATTGATAAGAAACTAAAAGGCATTTATTTGGACCTTAGACAAGTCCATCATTAGTATAGGCTCATACCCTCTAGATTAGCTTTGGTTAGGCTACACTCATGTTTTTGAAAAAATAGTGGATAAATTACCTATACCTTTTCTTTTTATGTTATGTAAAACATCTTTGACCCTATTATACATGCTCATACAGTTCCAGTGCATTTTACCTTCAAGTTAGCTCCTTCCAAAACGGCTCCCTCTAGATTGGCATTGGTAAGATCTGCATTCTGATAAGTTAAAAAGACATTCATTAATAATTATCACATACTTTTAATCAAGACACGACATTAAGGCTACTTTTCTCAAGATTCGAGATACAACCCATCTCTAAAAATCAAAATTATCCATGTTTTAAAATATATTATAACGAAAACTACCATTTGCCACTCCAACTTGACAACTAAAGAGAGTACTTACAGAATAAATTTCACCACAATTAAGCTTAGTCCATCACTAACTTGATTTATAAAAATTTCCTTTTTTTTTTCAAAACTCAGAAATCCTAAAGATTCCTCATCTAAATTAGCCATCACTGAATACAATTGTCTATGTGAGTATAAATAATAATTCATACATTTTGACTTTTGGGCATGCATGACAATATTAGGATATAAAGTTACAGATTCATTCCAATCCATAGTTTCTACAAAATACGATGAATGTTTTCATAAATGCCCTACAAATTTTTTTCATAAATGCCCTTCTGATTTTGAAGAGAGAAATAGAGGGAATGAAAATAGAAAATAAACAAAGTGAAAAAAGAAAAAAGGAAATAGTAAGAATTAANTTATCATAAATTCTATAAATATAAGTTTGATATAGAGGTAAAGATATTTTTGAACATAATTCAATTCATTAAGACCTTCTTGAAAAACAAATCTGACTTGAGTGTTAGAGTGTCTTCTGCAGGTCAAACACCGATCGGATACATAGCAAGTTAGGACAGGACGACCATCCATCGACCCTACGTAATCGAAACACATATTAATCTGTTGAGGATTGCATTTAAGGAAAGAATATTGGATTTTTAATTAAGATTTATAATTAAAAAAATATTTTAATTAAGATTTGTTATAATTTAGTTTATTAAATATACTTTAGGAGTTATAAAAAATGGTAACTCATTTTAATATTGAATTCTTAATTAGAATTTATACTTTAAGAAAGTAATTTAATTAAGATTTGTTATAATTTAGTTGATAGTTTATGAGATAAAAAAATAGGTTTTTATTAAATTATTCAGAAAACCTAAAATTGATTTTTTGTAACTAACTTAGAATATATGATTTATTTATATACGTCAAAGGAAGTTTAAGATGTAACAACTTAGACCCTCTCTTTTGTATTTTTCTATTGGTAAACTCATAACCCGTATGTGTCCCATAACATTATGGATTTAGCCTATGTTTCTCTCTTACCTATATTCGAAGTGAATTTATATCACATGTTATGAAAGATGAAAAGAACACTACAAATAACATTTTTTGCAACTAAATCTTTGAAGTATTAAAAGTTAACTTTTATTTATTTTGAGAAAAAAAAAAGTTAATATCTTTAAAAATTCAATGCATTCCCTGTCAGATCATTCATGAATTTGAAAAAAGAACTGAAAAAATTTAGAGAACATAATAATATATAATTTAATAATATGAGAAGTATTTTATATGATGAGACTATCGTTTGAGAGTATTCAATCGGTTTAATGTAACATATAATATTTTGAACGGTAAAGAAAGTTTTAAATAGTTTAGCAAATTCATTTGTGAAAGATAGACTTAAAAGAATAAAAATTAACAAACAAATTGTAAGCAATAATGCTATGATTTAAATATGTATTTATTTCAAAAATATAATCCGATGCTACATTTAATCTCTAGAAAATTCCTTTCCTCTAACATGTTTTGTTCTAATCTATGTAGTATGTAAATAATTTTCCTTTTGTTGCTATAAAATATTTTTCAAAATGATATATCAAAAAGAAAAACAAATTAAAAACAGTTTTTTAAAGACCAAAGACAATATAGAAGTATATTTCAAAGATCAACAATATATTTGAGTTCAAATTTATTCCTCCTTTACTCTGCAAAAGTATTCTCATTTTATTGTAAAATACAATAATCTCTGATAACGTAATCCAATCGAAAAAATTACCCAAAAAGGAAACTTATCAGTCATACAAGACAATCATGATTCATAAATACGAACTTCTTATCAGCCATGCGCTGTACACAACATAGTTCACATAACAAATTAGTAATATTCTTGGTACATAAGAAAAGCCAAAAAACCAGAATCAACACAAAATATGAACAAGAACAACATAAACAACTTTATCTCACAATATCAGCCGCATGTTATTGTTGGAGATCAGCAGACCCAACTAAAATATCACTTTACCAGAAGCACTTATACTTACGCTCTCATACACGAGATAACTTTCAAATTCCCAAGTTCAGTCATCTAGTACTGACATTTTATAGCCATATTACAAATTCCAATTTTTTTAATTTCCGGCACAAATATTATCTGATTACTCCAACAGTATTGGCACCATCAAGCCTCGCACCTTCCAAGTGCTGAGTGACATAAAAAGGAACGAAGAAATGTGTTAGTTTATCCCACATAACAGAAAAATATACTCGCCATAATTTTCCACCCATTCTAAATACAGGGAGCCAACAAAAGAAGCATTAAAACAATGGGAATTTGAAAACCTCAAATCTGATCTCGCATGGCATTTATTCCGTTGCCTAACGTTTGTCATTTTGGATTCAGTTATTAGTTTTATATTGGAAACAACAGATCATATAGAATTTTTTCGTGATCTGTGATTCAGTTTCCTGTACTTAGTAAATAAACTCTGGTTCAGCCATGTGTCCACTGATCAACAAGAATGGTTAGTGTGGAACACACTTGAATAACATAGCAGCAAACCAGCTTGAACTGAATGCTTGTGCTCAGTTCAGTTCCATTCCAACTACATTTTCAAAATCAATTGTCTACATTGTAAAGACATCCATCAATTATTGGCAACAGCAGCACAGCATAATATACCACAAACATTCCCCACTCCCATTCATATCACTGGACTTGACATTAAATTTTCAAACGACCAATGCCAGGCCATAACACATGAATTAGTTAATGGAAAATATTGATTAGCCAATCTATAATATCATAATTAGTAAAGAAACTCATAAGAACTATGAAAAATACAACTAAAATACATACCGTATATCGAAGATTAAGATGACTAAGATAAGCTCGTTGAAGGTTTGCACCCTTCAAGTTGGCGTTGTTCAGTTTTGCCCCCTAAGAAAAATAGGGAATTGATTTCAAAGTAGGCCAAAATAAGATTAAAATTTTATTTCACCCAGCCATAAACTTAATTGAAAAGAGAAAATGAAAAGAAAATCAGTAGTAAATTAAACTGACAAATTTATAGGAAGCAAGGTATCAAATTTAGGAAATAACTAAACTGGTATTGATGTTTATACCTGATCAGAGGGATACAAGAAAATCCAACAGAAACAAAATGACTATGCACGGAGATAATCTGCTTACAATTCACACTTTTAATCCATGGTGAGGTTTCTCAAAGTTTTGTGGGTTAAGTTATCTCATTAATAGTATATCATCTTCGGCCTTAGATAACGAAATTCCTCTTTCTATTTTGTTCGAATATTTTAACTTATTTGTCACCTGGGTGTAGCGTTTTCAGGTTTTCTCTTTGTATCTTTGACATTGGAGCCCTTACAACATACATGAATTAGTTAGGATATGAATCAATCCTTTAGGCATTCTTTCTCGTATTTCATTCTCAAGTCTTATGTTAAGCGATAAAGTGGTGGAGATATTTAAATTTAAAAAGAAAATGTACTTTTATTGAACATAAGGGTCTATGTTAGGCCCGTAAGTCATGTTTTCAGTGGTTGTGTCATGAGTGAGGAAACTTATACAAAAATCATAAAGTGGAGGCCAAAAGGGGGTGAGAGAAAATGGGAATATATGGAGAGCTTAACCAAATGAAAGGGGGATTATTCTCAGTCTGCGTGATGATTTTTTAGTATTGATAAGAAACTAAAAGGCATTTATTTGGACCTTAGACAAGTCCATCATTAGTATAGGCTCATACCCTCTAGATTAGCTTTGGTTAGGCTACACTCATGTTTTTGAAAAAATAGTGGATAAATTACCTATACCTTTTCTTTTTATGGTATGTAAAACATCTTTGACCCTATTATACATGCTCATACAGTTCCAGTGCATTTTACCTTCAAGTTAGCTCCTTCCAAAACGGCTCCCTCTAGATTGGCATTGGTAAGATCTGCATTCTGATAAGTTAAAAAGACATTCATTAATAATTATCACATACTTTTAATCAAGACACGACATTAAGGCTACTTTTCTCAAGATTCGAGATACAACCCATCTCTAAAAATCAAAATTATCCATGTTTTAAAATATATTATAACGAAAACTACCATTTGCCACTCCAACTTGACAACTAAAGAGAGTACTTACAGAATAAATTTCACCACAATTAAGCTTAGTCCATCACTAACTTGATTTATAAAAATTTCCTTTTTTTTTTCAAAACTCAGAAATCCTAAAGATTCCTCATCTAAATTAGCCATCACTGAATACAATTGTCTATGTGAGTATAAATAATAATTCATACATTTTGACTTTTGGGCATGCATGACAATATTAGGATATAAAGTTACAGATTCATTCCAATCCATAGTTTCTACAAAATACGATGAATGTTTTCATAAATGCCCTACAAATTTTTTTCATAAATGCCCTTCTGATTTTGAAGAGAGAAATAGAGGGAATGAAAATAGAAAATAAACAAAGTGAAAAAAGAAAAAAGGAAATAGTAAGAATTAAAATAGAATATTTAGTTGTTGGTTCATGGTGAATCTTTTCTATCAAAGTTGGTTTTGATGGCACTATTGATCAAATCAAAACTCGCTTGATAGTCAAAGGTTACACTCATATATTCAAATTAGACTAGGTGAAACCTTCTCTACGTTGCTAAGACAGCTTCTGTCCAATCATTCCTTGCCATGGCAGGTTGGGCTATATATCAGTCAAATGTCAAGAATGTCTTCCTTCACGACGATTTGTTGGAAGAAATTTATATGAAGCAACCTCTTGGTTTTGTTGTCTAGGAGGAGTCATCTGAATCCAAAAATCTTTATATGATATCAAGCAATGTCCTAACACATGGTTTGGTAGACTATGTGAAACGGTCCAACAACTTGTTATGATTAATGTGAGGCTGATCATTCGGTGTTATATTGTCAAACAACCATTGGATGTACCCACTTAGTAGTGCATGTTGATGACATTGTTCTTATATGTAGTGATCATCATGGTGTTAGAGATTCAGGTAAGAAATCTAACTCACTCACACTCTTACGCTCACAGAAACAAACACCACACAGTATGGGATGAATAATGGGTGTGTATTCACAAGAAAGAAACAAGAATACAGAATAGTCCAGAAGCTTAACCTCCTTCACCAGGTGCTATGACCGGTCAACAAATCAACAAATGTCTAACCACCTAACTGATACAACAAAGAGGTCCTTATATAGGCCTCTTTCCCAAACCAACTTAACTGACTAGCAGTTAAGTCCTCTGTTTTCCCTTTCTT